GAAGAGTGGGGAAAAAAAAGGGGGGGCATTTGGAAGCAACCAGCCCTGGGACATGATGTCCCTCGAGACCAGAAGAACTAGATGGTGCCTGGCTACCAATGCCAACCACTCAGGAAATGATCAAATCTGAGATCCTGGATAGAGTGGGAGGAAAAATGTGGAACAGAATCCAAAAACTCAATAACGACCAGAATTACAGGTCAGATGGAGTCTGGTGAGACCCCCAATACTATGGCCCTGGAATACATTCTGCACCTAGAATAAAACTCAATCCCAGGGCTGCCTCTCAGCCCAATAGTTAACAAGATGTACATGCAGACCACTCAACCCAGGGGGATGCATGTACATACTCTATGGAATATACATCCCTTGGAGCAATAGACCACAGGGCACCAGAGGGGCAACATTCACACGGAGATACTGCAGGACAGACCAGAGTGCATTTAACTATGAGGGGCACAGAGGGAGGGTTACTGGGCAAGGAGGGGAGGAGACTGGGTTAAGATTGGGCATGGTAAATGGGGAGTGAAACTAAATGTACGTGTAACGTTGAATGTAAAACAAACTCTTAAATTTTTTTTAAAAAGTGTCACTCAGCAAGGTCACTATAGAACCAATATTTATTAGAGTTTCCAGCACCTTCCATCTTGCCAAATCCAATGGTCAATTCTCAATTTTCATCTCACTATTATACTCCCCAGTACTTGATTATTACATCTTTCTTGAAATTCTTCCTTTACTTTTCTTCTAGAACAACAAAAATTCTTCTTGTTTTCCTTTTACTTCATGACCTACTCTTCTCTTTCTCTTTATCCAGCCACTTCTCCTTACTGCTGCTTTGAGGTCTTATAATGAAATAGAAAGCAGTCTCCTTTATGCTGAAGATTTTCAATTAGATTTTTTTTCTTTTTAGCTCAGTTTAGCTTTTTCACTAAAATAATCATGTCAACATAGCCTGTTCACTGATACTAATCTCAGGTGGCATTCAAGCAGCCAGAAATTCTATCTCTATTTGCTTTCACCTCAAGACAGGAAATGGAGGTCTAGTGGCACAGTGATTAAGCACACAATGTTAACCGAAAGGTCAGCAGTTTGTATGCACCAGTCAGTCACTCCACAGGAAAAAGATGGAGCATTCTGCTTCCATAATGAAGTACAGCCTTGGAAACCCCATGGTTTCCTATTCTGTCCTACTGGGTCACTATGAGTTAGAATCAACTTGACAGCAAAGGATTTAGTTTTGGGTTTAGAGACAGGGATGGTTTTGCCATTATTTCTCAGTTGTTTTATCTATCACAAAGAAAAGAGTTTATAACAATATACTGCTGGAGCTCTGGTAGCATAGTGCCTAAGGTACTTGACTGCAAACCAGAAGGCTGGCAGTTCAAACTCACCAGCCACTCCTCAGAAGAAGGTTGGGCAATCTACTTCTATAGTGATACTGCCTTGGAAACCCAAGGAGGGGTAGCTATGAGTCGGGGCCAACTCGACGGCATTAACAACAACAACAACTGGTGAAGAGCAAAGAGGTATCTTTGAAGATTAAGGTGAGCCTGACCCAAGCCGTAATATTTTCAATCACCTCATATTCATGTGAAAGGTGGACAATGAATAAGAAAGAATGAAGAAGAGTTGGTGCTTTTGAGTTGTGGTGTTGCCAAAGAATACTGAAAGTACCACGGACTGCCAGAAGAACTAACAAGTCTGTCCTGGATGAAGTGTAGCCAAATACTGCTTGTAAGCGAGAATGGCCAGACTTCGTCTCACCTACTTTGGTTATGTTATCAGAAGGGACCATTCCCTGGAGAAGGATGTCATGCTTGGTAAAGTGGAGGGTCAGTGAAAGAAGGGAAGGCCCTCAACAAGATGGATTGACATAGTGGCTGCAACAGTGGGCTCAGGTATAGCAAGCATTGTGAGGCTGGCGTAGACTGGGCAGTATTTCATTCTGTTGCACATAGGGTTTCTAAGAGTCGGAGCCATCTTGACTGCACCTAACAACAACAGCATTTGGTGGCGTAGTGCCTAGGGCATTTGACTGCTAACCAGAAGGCTGGTGGTTCAAACCCACCAACCGCTCCTCAGAAGGAGGGTTGGACAATCTACTTCCATAGTGATACTGCCTTGGAAACCCAAGGAGGGGTTACTATGAGTCGGGTCCGACTCAATGGCAGTGTTTCTTTTGTTGTTGTTCTTCCCCCAACTCCAGGCTCCCCTTTCAAACATCATGTTCTTATTTTTCCTGGTTTCTTCCAGACAAGGGAAAAAGAAATTAAGAGACTTATTTTTAACATCATATTCAAAACAAAACAAAGCAGCAATTCCTCACTGGCATACAAGGAGAAAAATATGAATATCTATGTGTTTTATTCTTGTTTGTTTTGTTTTTAATTTTGGTGGATTTTAATGCCAAGAGGATAGTAGTTTATGTAGCAAGAGACTGCTGGCCACAAGTTAATGACATTCAGAAATTTTATTGATTCTCTTTTTCTTTTTAACATTTAAAATTAGATAAACCCTAATAGAGTCTGGAATTTTGACATTATTTCATTTTATTACAAATTATCTGGAGTGTTCAATTGTTTGATATACTGTCTTATGATTTAAGCAGATGGCTAATGTTTGTCATGACCAAAAATTAGCTCTGATTCAAGTGCAAGAAGCTATTAAATATGCAGAGACTCGTGATAAACTACTACTCAGTTTCGCATGTCTGAAACCATAGAATCTCAAGTAAATACTGAATTTCCCAAATGAGCATGTACTTACTGCTCTAGATTTTTTTTCTTTTCTTTTTTTTTTTTTTAGGAAATAAGACAGGAGGGACTGAAGGAAGAAAGGAGGAGAGAGAAGGAAGAAAAATATGTTCTTTGAATGACAGCCTTATTTAATGGGGGAAAAAATTTTCTGCAACATCTTATAATGCTCATAAGATAGCACTTCCTGCCCTTTATTATAATTGTTTCTTTAATTGTCCATCTTCACTTAATTCTAAAGTTTATATAGGCATGGAACATGTCTTGCTTAGTTTTTTAATCCGTAGCTCCACAATGCCTAATACGTGTATATATCGATTGATATCACTATATAGAGAGATCAATTCCTATTTTGATAGCTTTAAAATTATTTTTATTTAAAATGGAAAAAGGACAGAATGTAAGTTGGAACCTGGGTAGTTATATTTGTTCAGAGCCCCATGATTCTGAATTAGTGGATCCTCTTTTGCCATGGCTTCTCTCTCGACAGTCATTGAACAAGACAGATACTCAGAGGACTTACAGTAAATTCTGGCCAAAGTGGCCAACAATTATAAAAACAGGTGGAGTGCTAATCTGGGTACTTTCCTTCCTAATCCTCTAGAAATCAAAGCCTTTTGAATCTTTGCCATGCTGATGGTGCAAAAAGGCACACCAAGAAGAGGAGAAGTGTGAATGAATTTTTCCTCTAGGCTCCCTACTCACTGCCGTTGAGTCAGATCTGACTCATAGCGGCCCCTCCTTGGGTTTCCAAGGCAGTATCACTATGCAAGTAGATTGTCCAATCTTCCTTCTAAGGAGTGGCTGGTGGGTTTGAACCACCAGCCTTCTGGTTAACAGTCAAATGCCTTAGGCACTACACCACCAGAGCTCCCTGAGGCTCCCTAGGGAACTCTTAAAAATAATGATTCACAGGCTCTAGCCCAAGAGATTCTGTTTTATTTAGTCTGAGGTGATGCCTTCCTAAAAAGTATTTTAAAAGCTCCTCAGATGATTCTGATATTTAGCATGTTGTTACGTGCCATTGAGTTGGTCCCAACTTACAGTGACACTATGTACAACAGAACAAAACAGTGTCTGGTCCTGCACCATTCTAACAATTGCTGCCATGCATTAGCCCATTGTTGCAATCACTGTGTCTATCCATTTCATTGAGTACCTTCCCCATTTTTGTTGACCCTTTACTTCACCAACATGATATCCTTCTCCAGGGACTAGTCCCTTCTGACAACATGACCAAAGTATGAGAAACAAAGTCTGGTCATTCTCACTTCTAAGGAGCATTCCAGCTGGACTTCCTCCATGACAGATTTGCTTGTTCTTCTAGCAGTCCATGGTACAATCAATTTTCTTTGCCAACACCACAATTCAAATGCATCAATTCCTCTGCAGTCTTCCATATTCGTTGTCTTACTTTCACATGCATATGAGGCTATTAAAAATATCATGGCTTGGGTCAGGCCCACTTTAGTCTTCAAAGTGACATCTTAGCTCTTAATCACTTTAAGGAAGTCTTTTGCAGCAGATTTGTCCAAGTCAATATGTCATTTGATTTCTTGACTGCTGCTTCCATAGGTGTTGCTCATGGATCTGAGTAAAATTAAATCCTTAACACCTTCAAACTTTTCTCCATTTACCATGATGTTGTTTATTGGTCCAGTTGTGAGGGTTTTTTTTTTTTTTTTAATGTTGAGGTGTAATCCATACTAAAGGCTGTAATCTTTAATCTTCATCAGTAAGTGCTTCAAGTCATCCTCACTTTTACCAAGCAAAGTTGTGTCATCTGCATATCGCAGGTTGTTAATGAGTCTTCCTCCAATCCTGATGCTATATTCTTCTTCATATTGTCCAGCTTCTCCTAGTATTTGCTCAGCATACAGATTGATTGAGTATGGTGAAAAGATACAACCCTGATGTACACTTTTCCTGATTTTAAACAACACAATGTCCTCTTATTCAGTTTGAACAACTGCCTCTTGGTCTATATACAGGCTCCTCGTGAACATAATTAAGTGTTCTGGAATTCCCATTCTTTGCAATGTTATCCATAATTTGTTATGATCCAAGCAGTTGAAAACCTTTGAATAGTCAATGAAACACAGGTAAACATCTTCCTGGTATTCTCTGCTTTCAGACAAGATCTAATATCAGATAAGATAAAATACTGAAAAAAAAAAATCACATGTGATTTTTAAAAAATACGTCTGTGTGAAGATGAGAATAACTCTTGAAATATTATTTTAGGAGAGAAAATGCTGCTATTTGGAAAGTCGTGCTGGGCATCAACAATTTAGACCATCCCTCGACGTTCATGCAGACGTACCACGTGAAGACCATCATCCTGCACCCTCGTTATAGTCGAGCGGTGGTGGACTATGACATCAGCATAGTGGAATTGAGTGAAGACATCAATGAGACAAGCTACGTTCGACCAGTCTGCTTACCCACTGCAGAGCAGTGGGTAGAACCTGATACCTACTGCTATATTACTGGCTGGGGACACATGGGCAACAAAAGTAAGCCCAGCTCTTTAAGAACAATTGCCTTGTCTTACTTCCTAGCTGTTTGCAACAGTTTCCTGTTTTTGCTTATAAAATTAACACTACAAATAGGAAACGCTTGGCATATGTGTCACACTTTCTCTTCCATGTAAATGGTAGACATCTATACTCTATCATGGCACATATACCTGCCAAACCCAAATGTAACCTCAAAAATCTTTCTCTACACCTCTGATTCTTTCTTCAGGGAGTGACTACCAATGTTTAGGAGTTGCCATGCAAGAAAAGACCTATCAGTCACCTCTGCTCTCTTGATCTTTATCAACAAGGTGGGCTATCTGCAGGCAAAATTCCTCCAAACCTGTATTTTGTGGTCAGACAGTTCTGCTTCTGCAGTCATGCTACTACAGAAGGTTACAGTCCCAATTGTGTGGTATAATTTGGTCTTTCCTACATCTGTAACTCAATCTCTAAGTTTGTGTTAGAGAAAAGTGATTTACCATTTGTGTATTGAAATTGATTAAAATGGTTTGGTTCTCTAGATTATTTAAACATTATGTAGACATGTTCTATAAATGTGTGTGTGTGTGTGTGTATAAATGACTCATGGTGACCTCATTTGTTACAGAGCAGAGTTTTCCTGGCTGTTTATGGAAGCAGTTCACTAGTCCTTTCTTCTGTGGAGTCACTGGGTGGGTTTAAACCACCAACTTTTAGGTTGGCAGCCAATGGCAAACCACTTGCACCACCCAGGCTCCTTATATAAACATAACAAACCAAAACCAAACCCAGTGCCCTCGAGTTGACTCCAACTCATAGGGACCTCCACTGGGTTTCCAAGGTAGTGCCCAAGGCACTTGACTGCTAACCAGAAGGCTGGCGGTTCAAACCCACCAGCCACTCCTCAGAAGGAAGATGGGGCAATCTACTTCCGTAGTGATAC